CATTGTCCTGCCCGGTCAATCCAAGAAGCCTACCTAGTACAGCCAAACATAGCTCCAGTATGTGGAGGATAATTCGGTCTATTCTCACCAGTGCGCTAGTTACTGTAGGGCGTGCAGGTTACCCCAAGAGGAGCACATTTCTACTCCACCAATTTCACTTCAGAGCATTCTCTTTAGATTTCCTCCACTTTCTTACCGACACAAAGAAAAAGCACATACACACATGTCGAATAAAGTACCAGAAACTGCAGCCGGTGCCGTCAGGGCCAGAGTTCGAATTCGGGATCACATCTACCAAACACCTCTGATTCCAGCCAGACAAGTCGGAAAGGACGATGGATCTTCAGTTTTATTCAAGGCGGAAAACTTTCAACTTACAGGATCTTTCAAAATCAGGGGCGCCATGTCCAAACTTTCCGCTCAATCTCACGACTCGCGACTGATCACAGCATCATCCGGAAACCATGGCATTGGTGCTGCATGCGCAGCAAAAGCACTTCACAAAGACGTGACAGTGGTCCTCCCAGAGACTGTCTCAAAAGCAAAGCTAGAAAAACTTCAAACATATGGAGTCAAAGTCATTTTGCACGGCGCAGAAACTGGACTGGCAGAACAGCATGCTCAGCATCTCGCCACTTCAGAGAACTACACATACATCTCACCATATAACGATCCAGACATTATAGCCGGCCAAGGGACAATTGCACTCGAGCTTCTCGAGCAGTGCAAGAAAATCGACAATGTTTTTGTGGCAATGGGAGGCGGAGGATTGGTCAGTGGCATTGGATCTGTTATGAAAGCCTTCAGCCCTGAGACGAGGATATACGGGGTTTCTGCCAGCAACTCAAAGGCTCTAGCTGAGTCTATTGCTGCTCGCCACGTTGTAGAGACTGAGCATCACCCTACCTTGGCCGATGGTGTTGCAGGTGGTATTGACGATGATACTGTTACACTGCCTCTTGCAATGGCGGTTATTGATCAAGTCATTGAGTGCAATGAATCTGAGATTCAGTCTGCATTGAAGACTTTTGCGTTCGAGGAAAACATGATTGTTGAAGGCTCAGCTGCTCTTGCTCTTGCCGGGTACAACAAGGTTGCAAAAACTTTAGCTGGTCAGACGAGCATTCTTATATTATGTGGTGCAAATGTTAGCCGGGAACTTGTCTTGAAAGAAATTCTTGGATCTTGATTAGACATGACCAGCAGCTGAGATAACATTTTAGCCTACGATCAGAGATAGAGTAGCTTAGAGAGCCTATAGGTAGAGTAGCTTGAATGCATTTGATACCAAAGCATTTACGCAGGCAGTACGAGCCAATTTGATGAATCTGATCGTAAGGCAGAAATTTGAAGATCAAGATTAGGTCATGTACACTTGCATTAGTCCGATACCAAGCAGTTTCTGTCTTAATCTAAATCTCATGTACTGAATTCTATTTTGCAACCTTCAGCTCACCGCGTTCTTTCACAAGTTGTGCAATCTGAAGCCCAACATCTGAGCCAACATCACTGAAGCCTTGTATCACACCCTTTCGATCTCCCTCACCTAGCTCCTGGCTCATCTTAAATTTGCCTTCCATTCGGTCTATCTCAATCTCCATACCTATAATGCTCTTCTGCAAAAGGTCAATGTATCGATCAGGGGCATCAGATACCTTCCAAGTACTCGGCTTGCCATCAACGCCAGTATAGCCCATGACAGAACTCTCAACGTATTGCGAAAGATCGGAAATCTGTTTTGAAAGAAAGTCTCTGGTCTCTGGTGACTTTGCATCGAAATAGATCTTAGCTCGGCCGTATACTTGTGTCGCCGCATAATTCCAGGTCGGCACAACTTTTCCAGTGGTCGGCTTTGTCTCCTTATAGAATTTTGGAGTTACATAATGCTGAGCAGTAGCGGTGAAAAGCACTAGGACTTCTTCTTCCAGAAATTGTGCGTTGGTAGTTGCTGAACGGCTTTCTATTTCTTCAATCATGGTCTTGCTCTGTGGGTTCATTCGAGCTAAATGACACCTGAGGACTCCAAGCTCAGTCTCACTCTCTTCATCCTGAATATCGAGAAGAAATGGAATATGACTTGAAAGGATCTTTGGGAATGTTTTAGAGGATATTGCCGTTGTAAGTACCTGTTGATTTAGCATAAATTTGATCTAGGGATTGAATTTGCAATAGTCAACGACATATTATTGAGCCATTGTAGCGCTTACGATGGCTTTGAGCCGGGTAATACTTACACCAAGGGGATTCTTGCGTATCAGCTGTCGCAATTTGGGAAGCGAGGCTTCAGCGTGCACGTCTCGGAGGTACATGGCTGTAAATATCCGTCTTGTGGCTGAAAAGAGATTGGTTTTTCGAAAGTACAACTTTGGTATGGTATGGAAAATTCAGAGTCAGGTATGTATATTGAGTGATCGGAAGCAAGTGCACGATCAAAATCCAAGGAGGGCATTATGCATGAAATCATCGCGCGCCCTACGGACCGATATGTCACAGCTTACAGGGAATCAGTACCTCCAAGATAGCCGCAGCGCAACTACTAAACGGGCTTCTAATGAGTTCCAGTGAATTAGATAAGAAAAGCAAAGAACAGCATTAGTGATTATTTTGGCTCAACTTTCTTCGTACCTTTCTGTTCACTATATCTCACGCATATCTCTTGCACATCTAATATTGGGATCTCTATTTTTTCGCAAATGCTGTCTTCGCCTTATTAGTCCTCCAAATGAACTGAGAACATGAATACACCCTCTATTTCCTTTGCTTTGCGCGATGCTCGGCCTGAAGATGCAACGCAGATTGCAGAACTGGGAGCCCTCGTGTTCAGCGCTACCTATGGGCATTCGATAAAGCCGCACGAATTAAAGGCGTACCTGAAGAAATCATACAGCTTCGAAGCAACCATGGAGGACATAGCAAATCCACTCAAGGATATGATTGTTGCGACTGAAAATGCCGACAATCGCATTGTCGGTTTCGGACTGTTGACTCGAAGCTCGACCGAATTATGCATCAGGCATATGGACAATATAGTTGAGCTTCAACGACTTTACATACACCCGGCTTACCGCAGCAAAGGAATCGGGAGGTCACTTGCAGAAAGGTTAGAAACGGTGGCGATACAACAGCACTTCTTCCACATATGGCTTGGAGTTTGGGAAGAAAACCAAAATGCGATGACTTTGTATGAGAAATGGGGATATAAAAAGATTGGTGAGCGTGATTTTAGTGTTGGCACAATAACACAAGTCGGTTACATTCTCATCAAGAAGCTCTAAACTTATCTTCTGTGCCCACTGCATATCTTCTTTGAGTTGATAGCATCATAAAATCTCAAACATGGGTCCTGCTCAATTCACTACAGAGTGCTCTTTTGCTCAAATTTACCGTTCTATGTGTAAATCAATATTTTTTAGCCTGGCATTTATATCACACATCCAGGAGATCAGGGAAATTTTCTTTGTTCCTAGATTTGTGATCTTACTACCTTATTGTCTGATATAGCACAAAGGCTATGTTAACTTAGAACAATCTACCATAACGTTACATATAGCGGCTTTAGGCACAACAAATTCGAAATTAAGTCTATCCAAATCAGCTCACCTTAAGCATAAAATGAATCCCCGAGCTGTAATCCGTTCCTCTGGCGGTGATCTTCCACCACTTCCCAACCCACCAGACTGGAAAATCAAGCCAGGCGAGTCTCCAAGAGTCTATTGGATCTGGCGTGCCGAATGGGAACCTAAATGGGAATTTTGGCATGACTGGGACGCGAATGGCCACGTAGTCAGCTCTCCAGATCAAGTTTTCGATGGCATATTTGGCTGGATTCTGCCAACGAAAATTAATTTCGTGCCATTTGGGTGGTCAGTCGACTTGAATTCAACAGTCTGGGAGTATCTGCGATGTCGTGCCTACGGTATTGCGGCACAAGAACCTATTGTCCCAAAAGATCTTAGTCGCAAGGCCTGGATTCGAAGGGCAGAAAGAGACATCTCTCAGTTGGACCACGCTATCAAGGTGCTTCAGCACTTGCAATGTCTGAACAAGATCCATACAAATGAGACAGCCTACCATATGGCTGAACCATGGCTTATGGACGAGATCAAGGCACTTGAGCAAATCAGGTTGCGAATGACATTCCGCTTCAACCAAAGACTCGCACGATGATCGAGCTTGACTATTCGTCAGTTCAAGTCATTGGGTCGCAATCGATCAAACTTGGGCAGTTGTATAACTTCCTTTCCAATGAATATTGAATTCTAAATGAAGGCTGAAATTTCAGCTCTTTCTTCAACTCACTTCGTTCTTCATTCTCGTTATGAAACAATCGCGATCTGGTAAACTGTGAGCTAAGACATATGTTATGAGACTGTGTTATTACTACTATCTTGGAGTTTCGCTTTTTAGAAGAAGCTGATCTCATACTCTTATACGTGTTCTAGATATCGCTCTATTATCAGTCCTTATTTGTTTTCTATCTCTGTACTATGGAAAGTATATCTCCACTAAAGCCCAATATTTAACAGTACCGGTAAGTTTCATAACATTCTGCCTGAACTAGGTTTTACTTACTCTCCATCAGTATCTACAGTAACAATCCAGAAGGTAAGAATACTCTACATCAACATAGTCTCGAAGCATCCTCAAAAGATACTTTGAGAATCCCATGACAAATTTTGGGATAGAGTTGTTGTCATGGTATAGATCATCCCTTACAAGTAAAAAAAAATACACTTCTATACTATCTCAAGAACTCTATCTATTTGAAGCAAAGCTGCTCACCGGAAATAAAAATTGTCTTCCATATAATAAGAATATAGCCCAAAAAGCTGTATCTTATGAATATAAGGCGTAAAAAACTTCGCCTAGGATGAACCTACACACACAAAGCTTCATATGTACTCTCAGAAACAGCTTGGTGAACCAAAAAAACACTTTTATATAATGGATAACAGCACAAAAATTCGTATCTTCTCAATACAAAGCAAAAGAAAAAAATTCGCTGACGACAAGATTTGAACTTGCGCGACCGAAGCCAATAGATATCAAATAAAATTCAAGTCTATCCCATTAACCACTCTGGCACGTCCTACATTGGGTTAGCAAGGATCAGTCATCCGAGCATAAATTCACTAACAGCTTTAGGAGAAAAATCGTTATTTCAACATCATAATTTCTCGAAAATTGATAAATATACTACGCTAAAAGACAATTTCTTCTCAACTCCTTTTCGGCCGGATGAAGCTACCTGAAGCCATATAGCATACGAAGGTCTCTGATGGACTGAGATAGAAGACTTCTTGCAGCATTTCTTCGCGTATGGATTAAAGTTGGTGTGCTTCCCGCAGTGGTCGTAGGTAAGTAGCAATTCAGACTAGAATAGTCTAGATATCAAGCCTCAATACTTGCAGTGTGTAGTTTTATAATCCCTTTGAGACGTTCATCTATTTAACATCGCTGAAAAAGTCTACATTAGGAGCGGAACTGGCTGGTTTTGATCCAAGATCAACACAGAAAACTTTCAACGTTGGCTTTGACACTGTCTTTTAGACCAACCCAGCCTGACTTACCAACTCCCTTGACAAGTTCTTCCGCTCTCTGATTCGGGACTTCAGCAATATCTTTACCTTTGTCAACCATCTGCGGGAACTCTCTGTCAGGATGAAGTTCCTTGAACATTCCAATGACCTGCGGCCAGCTATACCGCTCCGCAAAGCCAAACAGTCGCTCTCCATTCACACCCGGTGTGACCAAAGCTGCCAAATACAACTTTCCTGCATCTAATGTATCAATATGCCACTGTGGTTCCATCTGACTCATAATCTCGACTCCCTGACCATAGAATAAATCCTTTAGAAAACCCGCTGTGCTCGGAATCCCTTGATTCTTCGGATCCAAACAGCTTCCCAGCACCGTATCAATCAACAGCGTATTGAATGCAAACGCAGGCTTCTCCTTGTCCACCCACTCCCAGCATGCCCTCTCCATCTCCGTCTTCAGCGCCATAAACGGTGCCCACCCCTTTTCGCCCGGCTTCAACGTCTCATCCCGCGCAATCCGCACCGCTTCGTCATTCCATGTCTTCTCCGTCAATACAAACCGCGTATCCGCTTTCGGTGTATACGCGGCCCACGCCGAACTTGTCATGGCTATAGACTTGACACTCGGTGTGCGCTTCGCAGCCTCAAAGAGCGCAATGTGCAGTGGCGCGTAGTCGGCGAGCGCGGCATCAAGGTCTGGTATAAATATCTCGACTGGGCCGGCAATGTGCGCAATGCCAGACACGTCGACGATGCAGTCGTCCCAAGCGTAGGGCGCGGCCATGTCGGGCACTTCAAACAGCTCAAAGCGGCCGGCGCCATGGCGCGTGTTAAAGAGCGGTGTTAGCCACGCGTTTTTGCTCGCGTTGCGGACGGTGCCGCGGACGCGATAGCCGGCGGCGAGGATTTGGTCGCAGGCATGGCTGCCGATGAGGGAGTTGGCGGCGGTGACGAGGATGATGGAGTTTAGGGGGATTGATGGGTTTTGGAGGGTTGGTGGCGCCATTGGTTTTTGATGGTTGGATTCAACTTTGCTTGAATTCTAGAATTTCTTGCTAATATTTGGAGTATGATCGAATGTGAAGATCAGCTTCTTTCAAAAATCTGGAAATATGCTAGTTTAAGTAGTACTTTTAATACTGCATGATTTAAACCTGCATTTTCGGATCTCCACTATCTTACTGCATGGTGATCTACCAAAGACACCTTGTTGAGGATCATGTCTTGCTCAAAAACCATTTTGTACTACGATCATATGTCATCTCATTTAGAGATGTGACATAAGCGAGCTGGCGCATCGGACTGCTGAAAAGTTGAGCCCAGAGATATGAAGATCTTCGTCATACTTTTCTCTCATTGTAACTCGCATACCATGTCATAGTTCAATGCGTTGTTTCCGGATCATATACAGCATGTTTTGTAAGATATAGAGAACTCGCTCTTTGGAAGGGAAAGTGGTATTTCATAATCATTTAAGTTCGACCTTACAGATCCATTCCAATTCATTACTTTAGTCCCCATAACGATCCAAAGAAAGAGCCTGCTGGATTCGTCTGCGCCTTATGATCGATTCCCATTGACCCAGGCTTAGGATGAGTGCCTGGAGTAAGTGGACTGAACACAAAGCTCATCCCCATTTCACCAATGTCTGATCCAGCCCATTTCCCAGCAGCAGGTTTAGCTCTGTGATTGCAAGTCAGTTATAGAACCCCAAAATATGACTGTACAGCAGAAACTTACGCAGGATGTTTATCCAAATCAAAATACGCTTCAACCTCCATTTGGTCTCCTCTAATAATCTTCATCGGATCCGTACACTGCGTCATATTACTCACCCCCGTCCCCGCCTGTCCATAAACCGCCTGTGAATCGCACACCGTCCGTCCATTCACCCTCAGCGTAATACTCGTCCCACCATCATGTACTCGCCCACGTCGTAACAACATATATCCGTCCATCACAGCAGTTGCTGGCGTGCCCTTGATGGTAAACTTGTTGTATCCTGGCCAGCCACGGATACTCGGCATACTCCAGCCATCACACTGGTTCATGGCAAACATTACTACGCCACTGTCCAAGTAGCCGGCTGGCTGGCCGGGCACGTAGTCGATTTCGGTGACAGCGTAGACGTCCTTGGTTGTGTTGGCGTGGTTGACGAGTTCGGCGGAGAGCATGATTTTGTCGTCTTTGCCGAGATAGTAGCCGGCTGGGAAGGCGCCGTCCGGGGTCGTGTATAGGCCGGAGGAGGTTTCGTTGCCGCCGACGCCGGTTAGGGGCGCGAAGCTGAGGATGCGCGAGGGTGATGAGTCTTTGGCTTTGACGTTGCAGGCGAACGGCGATTGTGGCTGCTTGTCGAGGTTGCTGTATGTGACGTGGTGGTTCTCGATGCCGTTGGAGAGTTGGGCGGGCGAGCCGTCTTCGTATTTGAGTTCGGTGTGGGCTTTGAGGATGGTCACGTCAGAGGGAAAACCGGAGACTGTGCTGGCCATTGTGTTGGTGTTGGCGTTGATCTTTATGCCTAGTCCACCGGTTTTGGCGGCAGCTTTTTGAAGTTGTTCTTCTGTGAGTAGAGTTATTGGGCCGAACCAGATGCTGCTCTTCTTTGCGCCAGCTGCTTTCATCGTTGAAGTCTCAGCCACTGATTTTGCTATTCGCATTTTGGGAACGTTGGCTGCCATTATACCGGCAGTCGCCTTGAAGTAGCCATCTTGAAGCTGATCTAGGCTGGGTGTTTGAGCATATTTTGGCTGTTGCTGCCGGCGTTCTATTCCTGTTAGATCACATGAAGAATTATCATATAAACCAGCTCACCAATGTCCACCGGAGTTCCCAACACCAATGGTGCAGCGACAAGTATCGATGGAATCTTCATTTTGGCGTTCAACTCAACAGTGAGATCGCAGTGACAGACGAGTCCAACCTTGAAAGCGTGGAGGCGTCAGTGCCCCCATTGTATACTTCTTATAACTGACCCCTCAACCCCATTTTTTACTTGCAATACTACTTATATCAGCTAGTGGCTTTATATCCATATTGAGTCTCACGAACGAGAGGTCAAAACCTGATTGTAGCGACCAACAAGCTTTACACCAATTGGAGCAGTTGAAATGTCGACAATGGAGATGTATAAGCAATACTCCCGCACGAATACCATCTCAGGTAGATGAACGAGTCGATTGAACACTCTATTTTGTTCTCGGATGAAGGATCCGGGGGTTTGGAGTTCAACAGAGATATAAGAGATAGGGTTCAAGCCACGAGAATATTTGTCCAAGATCCTAGGGTTTTTCATCTACCGGCTACTTCGATTCGTAGTCTGTTAAGATCAGGAGAACGTGCTATGATGCTATGCAATCTGATATAGCTTTGTCGCCTTTCAAACTTTGGCTAGGCGTAATTGATGACAGTCAATAGCCACGCCGTTAGAAGGTCCAAGCTGACCTGTGAAGCAAAAGATTATGATTGTACATTGATCACAGAGGTCAGGAGAATACGCGTCAAAGAGCTTGTGACTGTCGTCGTTCGGATGTTCCAAGAGCTTGGAGAGACTAGGCAAAAGATATCTTCTTATGAGCTAGAAGCCATTGAAGCTAGTCGGCGAAAGCCAAAGGATCCATCTCCATGGAGTAGAGACCGGAATCCTGAGCCAGTTGGAGTGAGATATTAAAATTATAGTCTCAGGCAGAGAACTTGTTTCACTACATCCAGCTCGTTGAAATAGAAATCATGAAATCTGACGATGAGGCAGAGTGCTCACGTAAAATCCAGATCCAGATCCAGATCTCAAATTCCAATGCCGAAAACTTTACCATGATTTTGAAAATGGACTGAATAGTATTCATGTAAACTGCATAGCAATGGAATGTGCCCTAATAGGTTTGTTAGAAGTATGGCTAGTCGTTTATAAGGCTGTGACGTGCTGTGATTGGACAGCAGCATCTATAAACTGTGTCAAAGTTGGAGGGCACTATCGGCCTGCTTGGTAGCAGTAAACAGTAAACTTGTCCGTAAAGGCTGTACGGGTTTGGAGTTTCTAAAGAACATCTTGCAGGATCTAAGCCGACAGCTTTAAGCATTTCATAAGGTGTAAAAAGTACCTTAAATACCTGCAGCAAGAGAGGCTCCCTTATTGTGACACTTGATGGGCTTGGCCTTCAAGTTGTATAACTCTGTAATGAATTATAGGCTTCTTTTCATCTCACCTGTATTGAAAACTGTTTAGAGTACCAATGGCTGGGCAGACATCGGGCTGTTGGGCCTGGAGCACTGTTTACAAGCAAACATTTGGAGGGCACACAGCGGGAAAGGAGCGTGACTGGAAAGGATTGTTTGTAGTGTGTGAACGCAACCCAGCAAAGTGACAGGAAAAGCATGAAGCAGAAGAAAAGCTTCAGCATTCCAATACTGGCAATTGGAAAGGGGAAAACGCAGGAGAAAGCGTTTGGTACAAGACCATTGGTAAAAGAGGCAAGTTACACAAGGGAGGGACACCATTCATACCCATGGGTGCCATGCCAGAGGCTTCCGCGTGGAAGCGCCTGTGTTTGCGG